ACTCCCCCATTTTTTTTTTTTTTTTTTGCTGAGAATATCATATGGGACAAAACTCACGCATTTTTATTTTTTTTGCTGAGAACATGTAGTATAAAACTCATGATTTGTTTTTTTTTCTTTTTTTTTATTCTCAGAAAATTTGCTGAGAATAAATGCGATGCACTCTTTGAAACTTAAGGTGACATGGTATTTTAGAAAATGAAAACTATATATTTATTCGTTAAAAGGATTTATGTTAACACATTATATCTCATATTGAAATTAAATACCATTTCGCGATTTACAAGTATCCGAGTCCAATGAATTCTTGTACCAAGTTTTGGATGAAAGTGCGCAGCATGTTGTGGACTTGAAATTGATGTCATGTGCTTGCAACTATTTTCAGATAGAAGGAGTTCTGTGACAACACGCCTTAGCTGTCATCGGTGATAAAGGGGATAATCCATACAATGGTTCACGAAACCACAGAAGGATAGTTATCTCGCTTCTTATGCTGAAAATGTTGTACCACTTGGAGATGATGAACAATGGAAGGTCGATAAATACCGATGCCATGGCGAGATATTGCTGCCTATATCGAAGAGACAACCAAGGAGACCAAAAAAAAGGGCGAAAAATAAGGTTAGAAGTATACCATTCAACAAGTTGTGGAAGGTACGGTAGTACGGATCACAATAGAAGAAAATGTAAGCAACCATGCCCTTTATATCATCTAGGAAAATGTAAACAAAGTATGGATGAATAGTTGATACACGTATCATCATCTTTGTCACTTTCAAATACGTATTTGTGTTGCACTTTTTTGGTTTTCTGGATTTGCAATACTTAACTGCTGATTTTTTGTAATTATATTTGCTTATCATCTCAATAAAAGTTCTACCACTAAGGTATTTATTGTGATTTTTATATCTAGTTGATTTGATGCAATGAAAACTGTAAATATTTTAGCACTAAAATGTATTATGTAGTGTAATGGTTTTTATATCTATTGAATTGCATGGAATTTTTAATCATGGTGTCATGGTTGTAATCAAATGCTTATAACACCTGATTACTTTTTGACAGTTACGAATTCAGCATTCGAGTTTTTATTCATCTGCCATTTTTTATTGGTTCCAATTATGTAACCGTGTTGTAAAATACAGTAATTGAATGAGAACCTATCTTTTAGACAGAAGAACTGTGTATCTACTTTTTCCAAGGCCTCAGATGGAGGCATGCTTCAATTGCTTACCTTCTAATGGAAGGTCGATAAATACCGATGCCATGGTGAGATATTGCTGCCTATATCGAAGAGACAACCAAGGAGACCAAAAAAAGGGCGAAAAATAAGGTTAGAATTATACCATTCAACAAGTTGTGGAAGGTACGGTAGTACGGATCACAATAGAAGAAAATGTAAGCAACCATGCCCTTTATATCATCTAGGAAAATGTAAACAAAGTATGGATGAATAGTTGATACACGTATCATCATCTTTGTCACTTTCAAATACGTATTTGTGTTGCACTTTTTTGGTTTTCTGGATTTGCAATACTTAACTGCTGATTTTTTGTAATTATATTTGCTTATCATCTCAATAAAAGTTCTACCACTAAGGTATTTATTGTGATTTTTATATCTAGTTGATTTGATGCAATGAAAACTGTAAATATTTTAGCACTAAAATGTATTATGTAGTGTAATGGTTTTTATATCTATTGAATTGCATGGAATTTTTAATCATGGTGTCATGGTTGTAATCAAATGCTTATAACACCTGATTACTTTTTGACAGTTACGAATTCAGCATTCGAGTTTTTATTCATCTGCCATTTTTTATTGGTTCCAATTATGTAACCGTGTTGTAAAATACAGTAATTGAATGAGAACCTATCTTTTAGACAGAAGAACTGTGTATCTACTTTTTCCAAGGCCTCAGATGGAGGCATGCTTCAATTGCTTACCTTCAAAACTAATGATGAGTGTGTGTCACATTTCTCTTGGCCAAAACCATTGGACAATTCAGTCTTCCACTTTGTCACGGATTTTGCAAAGAGTCGGAACATATTATCACATAGTGACCATGAGAATGTCAAAGAAACCCAACTGTAACACAACAATATATATAATAACAAAAATATAATTAAAGGACATAGTGATGCCAAAACTGTAAAGCATCGTTGAAGAATTTACACAAAACAGATTCATTGTGTCATCGAAAAGATGCAAAAATAGGAAGATTGTCCGAAACACAAAATATGAAACCATGTTGAGATAAAACATCCATACTATTGTTTCTCGATAAGCAAAATACATGGAATTAAACTTCATCGTTGCTGTGCAATAACGATGCCCTTCATCTTTCTACCCCACTTGATGCTCCGTGATACTAGATCGAAGTCAATTTCTTAATCTTCTATAACTTTCTCACAAACATGCTTGTACAGGTGAGATGCGAAGCATTCGAGTTTTAAATATTGGAGTTTTTATTCATCTGCCATTTTTTATTGGTTCCAATTATGTAACCGTGTTGTAAAATACAGTAATTGAACGAGAACCTATCTTTTAGACAGAAGAACTGTGTATCTACTTTTTCCAAGGCCTCAGATGGAGGCATGCTTCAATTGCTTACCTTCAAAACTAATGATGAGTGTGTGTCACATTTCTCTTGGCCAAAACCATTGGACAATTCAGTCTTCCACTTTGTCACAGATTTTGCAAAGAGTCGGAACATATTATCACATAGTGACCATGAGAATGTCAAAGAAACCCAACTGTAACACAACAATATATATAATAACAAAAATATAATTAAAGGACATAGTGATGCCAAAACTGTAAAGCATCGTTGAAGAATTTACACAAAACAGATTCATTGTGTCATCGAAAAGATGCAAAAATAGGAAGATTGTCCGAAACACAAAATATGAAACCATGTTGAGATAAAACATCCATACTATTGTTTCTCGATAAGCAAAATACATGGAATTAAACTTCATCGTTGCTGTGCAATAACGATGCCCTTCATCTTTCTACCCCACTCGATGCTCCGTGATACTAGATCGAAGTCAATTTCTTAATCTTCTATAACTTTCTCACAAACATGCTTGTACAGGTGAGATGCGAAGTGCATTCTTGCATTTTTTGGATCGAACATATCGACCATGACATTGAACTTTTGGTGAATAATGTATTTGGCAAACTTAATCATGTAAACACCACAAACACCACAATTGTACCTGAAAAATGAATGTAGAATTAGGGAAAAAATTTAAACTGGTGTGTGATATCAAACTAATTATCAAAGCAAATAACATGATAAAACCAACAAAGTCACACTATTACGGGACACATCAAAACGACGTCCCACTTAACATATCATGAAAGAATTTTCGTATCAATATTGCCTATTTTTGCGTAGCATGACATCCATTTCAAGCATATTATCAAACATAGAATTTTTAACTGCCTGTGGTAATTAAAAATTGGATGAATTTGATTCATTTCTAGCTAGGTTCTGCATTTTGAAGCAATGTTGCCATTTTGGATTTTAAATCACCTAAGATAGATGAGATGAGTTGGTATGTAATCTTTTTTTTTCAAACGGGTTTGTGTGAAGATGCCTAAATCCACCGTTAGGGCATATATACAGACTACAAAAATTCGTCTACAGCTAAATCACAGTATGTATTGCAGGTTTACAATAGAATTTTTTAAATGGGATTGTGAGATATGTCACCTCTATCAGGGATTATGTAGCCATAATAAAATGCAGAAACGTTGTAATTTGCATTTCATGACAGGATATATAAAATGAAAAAAAAAAAAAAGGATTTTAGCATGAAGAAGGCTCTGAATAAGATGAAATGGTGATGATCGAATCAAGGTAAATATTGATTAGGATTTTTCTCAAGAGCATGAAACTGAGATTTGGGGATTTTGGCATCAATACCGAGCTCCTGTTTCAATTTTTAAATGAGTGATTAAAGCCATTGAATATTATAATTGATGAGGGAGATGATTGTTTAGTTATCAATTTTACTGTACAAAATGTATTAATTTTGGTTTAAAAAATATACAATAGTATAATATGAATATTTATTAAATCCATGTATGGGAAGTAAATTCCTCAAAACAAATTGGTGAAAAATAGACCTTGGAAAGAGAAAAGACTACTCTTAAAAAAAAAGTTCAGAACAAAAAAGATGAAAAAAGCATTGGACAGAGAAACTTGTTCAACTTATTTCGTAAAGTAATTTTTCAATCTGAAAGTTAGTTTCGAATAAAAAATGACAATAATTACTTTGTGCTTTTATTAAAAAAAAAGAATAATTTTATTAAATCAATTAACTAGAATTTCGTGCTGATAATGTATAAATTAGAAGGAATGTCCAAAATCATTGAAGCAATTGGTCGAGCCGAACAAAAGAGAAAAGCCTAATTTGAATGTTTTATTAAGAACCGAAGTCCCGTATTTTTATGGAAGAATTAGGGCTACAATGAATATAACAGTCTAGGAATTTATGTGTATAAAAGTCATTCATAAATATTACTATATTTACAACAATTATCACTATTTAAGAAATTCTTAAATAATGATGAAATGTCTTTGTTTTATTGTTATAAATCTCAGCCAATGTTTGAGTGTTATTTTCTTCAAAACCCATTAGATGTCAAGATCTTACGGATTGTATGGTACAGTATTGCAGATGAAATGTCCAGATTCTGCTTTTGGTGCCCGACCAGGCCCCGCTTTCAAACATGTCTGTTTAATAAAATAATTTTATACGTAAATTAAATTTTTTTTCCAAATCTTTGGACCACAAATAATCCAAAAAATCAATATTCTAAAATACACTGCCAAACAAACTCTAATAAAAGTCAAGCTTAAGGTTTTTGGAATTCATTTACATTTCTAAATGGGTAATTGTCACGAACGTCCATACATTTCAAGTTTATTGTGGAAAACGTCCGTACATTTCATTTTCAACATTTTTACCCCTACCTTTCACATTTTCTTTGCGTTGAATGTCCTTTTCACCAATTTTTAACGTAAAATGACCAATATACCCTCATATTTATACAAAAAAAAAAAAAAAAAAAAAAAAAAAAAAAAAAAAAAAAAGAAAAGAAAAGAAAATTGCAACTATAGGTCCAAAATTTTAAAAGGTGTTAGTGAGTCTAAATTTGAAAAAAATAATCGTCACCTTCTTTCCACATCTCACCTCCCACTCCACTCCACTCCATTGTCGACCTCAACCTCTACAATCACCACTCTGCTGTCGACCTATGCCATTCCCAAAATTCCAATCGAATCTACACGCCAAGACGCTCTTATCCATGATCCTCAAACGTCGTTTAACGCACACAATCAATTTGTTGAATCAATTGCTGCAATTCACCATTCTCATAGGGCTATCCCTTGTCACAAAAATTGGTGGTTTTGGCTTGTATTTGGAAGTTGGAACTTGGGGGTCTGCCTCTTGCCCAACGAGGTGGGATTTCAACAGCACCCTCTTCAGGCTCCTCGTTGTGTTCCCTTTCCCTTCGTTAGCCCGTCCACTATTCCCCATTTTATTTTTTTTTTGTCGATATTCCCCATGTTTCCATTCATAGATATGCTCAGATCTGGCTTGTTTGGAGGCGATAAAGTTGGTAAACACCCAATATTCTCATTCATGGATATGCCGAGATTTGGTTTCTTAAGAGGTAGAGATGAAGACTCCGCTCCTGACGGATTTACTTGGCATGTCCACCACTTACTGTTTGCTGCCATTTTAGTATCAGATTCAAACTCCAAATTGCTCTCAAATTTGTTTACTATATATGATCAGAATATCTTATCTGATCATATGTGCAGCCGAAGTTAAATTATGAAAGTGATAAAGAGAGAACAATTCACCAAATTGTTTAATGCACACAAATAAAATTATTATTATTATTATTTATTTTTTAAAGTTGGACTCATTTGCACTTTTAAAAATTTGGACATACAATTGCAAATTTCTTTTCTTTTTTGTTGTATAAATAGGAGGGCATATTGGTCATTTTATGTTAAAAATTGGTGAAAAAATGTTGAGCACCACGAAAAGGTGAAAGATAGGGACAAAAATGTCAAAAAATAAAAGGCAATGACGTTTTTGACAATAAATTTGAAAGATAGGAACCATTTCTAAATTACTAAGAAGTGAGACCCAAAAAATGACTAAAAAATTAAACTTGAAACCTTCAGAAAATATCATCAAAGCTGGGTTTCTTTTAAAATTGACCTAGTCAAAGGTCCTTATTTTTACTTTGACTTTTAAAAACTTAAATATTATCACATTAATATCTTAAATGGTAAAAGACACTGATACCCTTAAATATATTATGTAATTACAAAATATTGAATAGTTTAAAAGACATTATTACCCTTTTAGTTAATAATTAACAACCAAACACTTCTCCACTTATAAAACTGCAGAACAAGCTTCAAACATAGAAAACTCTCATTT